CTTTAACTTGATTGCAAGAGATTTCTGTTCTGCAGTCTTTTGTTACTGATTTACAGAGCAGAGGGTGGCAAAGCAGGTCAGGAGGGAGTTTCAGGGGGACCTAGGCTGGACCAGTTCATATTGGAAGAGGAGAACAAACCCTTGTGCTGAGGTCAGGATTTAGGCCAGGCTAGAGATCCTGAGATCAAGACTTGGAATCCAAGCATTGGGCAAGGATTAACATTTGAAAGGTCCAAACCAGGCTAAAGGGTCTGTGCCCCAGGGGGCCCAACTTCTACTCCCCTCTCTGCTCAGGTATTACCTGCAGGGAGCCTCTCCTGACTGCCCTCTGGCTGGGTTACGTGCCCCTCCCTGGTGCTCTCGAGGCCCATTGTGTTTATGCGATTTTAGCACTTACCACATTGTAACAAGGAAGTGGTTTCCTTCTTTGTCTCCTCAGGAGAGTACATGCTCCCTGAAGACAGGAATGCTCTTTCTCATCACCGAGTCCCCAGCGCCCCCTAGTAGCTCACACATAGTCCTAGATAAAGCCATCCCACAAAGGAGGAGCTGTTTGTCAGAATGGAAGCGGCATGGAGGAAGTAGGATTTTAGTTGGAGATGGAGAGGATGAGGGAAGGCTGTAGCTTAAATGTCTACCTCCCTGACCCCCAAACTTTACGCTTCTTTTTCTTCCTTAGTACTTGATGTGGATTAAGGCTGCCCCAGCTAGAGAAGCCCAAGGTGACCTGGCCTACGTGCCAAACTATACGACCCAGTGGACTTTTTTTATGGTATGAATTAGGACTGCCCCAGGGAGAGAAGCCCGGGGCATCCTCACCTGCATGCCGATCTATATGGCCAGATTCGTATCTAAAGTTATATGACCGCACAATAACCAGGCCCCATCTGCACTGAAATCATTTAATGACTTTTTACATCATCTTTTCTTTTTTTTCCAGTAAAAATAAGTCACGTACCCATGCCTTATAAAATTAGCCCTAACCCTCAACTCAGGGCAGCAGCAAGAGCTCTGACTGCCTGTGGGTCCTGTCCCCACACACCAGCTCTGCCTGCCCATGGGACCTGTCCCCATGCCAGCGGGGGCAGCAGCAGGAGCTCTGCCTGCTCATGGGACCTGTCCCCATGCCAGCGGGGGCAGCAGCAAGAGCTCTGACTGCCTGTGGGTCCTGTCCCCACACACCAGCTCTGCCTGCCCATGGGACCTGTCCCCATGCCAGCGGGGGCAGCAGCAAGAGCTCTGACTGCCTGTGGGTCCTGTCCCCACACACCAGCTCTGCCTGCCCATGGGACCTGTCCCCATGCCAGCGGGGGCAGCAGCAGGAGCTCTGCCTGCCCATGGGTCCTGTCCCCATGCCAGCGGGGGCAGCAGCAGGAGCTCTGACTGCCCGTGGGTCTTGTCCCCACACACCAGCTCTGCCTGCCCATGGGTCCTGTCCCCATGCCAGCGGGGGCAGCAGTAGGAGCTCTGACCGCCCGTGGGTCCTGTCCCCACGCACCAGCTCTGCCTGCCCATGGGTCCTGTCCCCATGCCAGCAGGGGCAGCAGCAGCTGCTCTGCCTATCCATGGGCCCTGTCCCCATGCCAGTGGGGGCAGCAGAAGCGGCGGCAGCAGAAGCTCTTACTGCCCATGGGTCCTGTCCCCATGCTATTCCACACTATTCTCTAAATAAAAGAGCACTACTGCCAGATCTTGAGAGTCTAAGAAATCTTTCTTTCGACTCCTCGGCTCACCGATCCCGCATCAGTACTTATCATATGGTAATTAAATTATTTGGGAATTACTTGTTTCCTCACTTGGCTTCCAAGATACCATAAGTTTTCCTCCTACTTCACTGACTGCTTATTTTCAGTCTCCTTTGCTGGCTCCTCCTCATTTTCTCAACCTTTTAATGCTGGAGCAGCCACGGGCTTGGTCATCCTCCTCTCTTACCTTCCAGCACTCACTCTCATGGAGACATCCAGTCTCAAGGCTTTAAATACTATCTAGAAGCAGCAGAAAGCAGTGGTTGTTGAAGCTGGATAATGGGGACATGGGCGATCTTGTACTATTCTATTTTTAAATGTGTTTGAAATTTTCTATTTAAAAAAACTTAAAAAATAAATGGTATTTATATGATGATGAGTCCAAGATCTCTCACTTGAGCTCCAAACTCACATATGAAACATCACCTTGATCTCTCCTCTGTAACGTCTAATAGGCATCTCAAGCTTCCTTAGTCTAAACTGAGCTCCCCTCCATCACCCCCATCCCAAAACTTCTCTTTCAGCAGTTCTCCCACATCAGAACATATAACTCCATCCTTCCATTTGCTCAGGCCAGAAACCTTAGAGTCATCCTGGACTCCGCTATTTCCACCCCACATCCAATCTGTCAGCAAATCCTGCTGTCGCCCTTGTCCAAACCACCATCATCTGTCTTCTTGATTACTATAGTAGCCTCCTAGGTTGTCTTCCTTTTCCTACCCTTATTTCCCTGCAGTCTATTCTCAATCCAGTGGCTAGGCAACATAGGCCAGATTTCAGCACTCCCCATCTCACTGTCAGCCAAAGGCCCTCCAATGGCTGGCAAAGCCCTACACAGTCTAGTCCCCTCTGATCTCATGTCATACTACTCCCACCTCACTCCTCAGCCACTCTGGCCTTTGTGCGGGTCCTACAATACACCAGGCACACTCCCAGCCCAGGACCTTTGCATTTCCTTATCTCTCTACCTGTAAGACACTCTGCCAGATGGCTTCATGACTGACCTAAGGACCTGCTTCAGGTTTTGATCAAAATAGCAACTTCGCAGGCCCTCTCTACTTATCCTGTTAAAAAATGCAATCTTCCCTCAAAAATTCTCTATCTCCAGCCCCTGATTTATGTTTCTCTATAGCCATTATTACCACCTAACATACTATACATTTTACTTTTTTTGTTTACTGTCTATTTCCTCCCACCAGAATGTAAGCTCCATGATGGCAGACATTTTTGTCTGTTTTGTATGCTGCTGTATCCCCAGCACCTAGAACAGTGTCTGGCACATGACAGCACCCAATAAATATTTGTTGAAGATATTAATGAATGTCTGTGTTCCATAGTAGGCTATAATCTATTAGAGCAGAAAAAGAGTTCGACCGATTATCATTGTATCCAAGGTACTAGGCATAGAGCAGTGCTCAATAGATATCTGTTGAGTAAGTGAATTGATTCATGAAAAGGACAATTCATGAAGGGAAATTGTGTGAGAGCAATGGGATAGAGGTGAGAAAAAACAGGAGTATTTAGGGGGAAAAGACCACCCTGATTGTCATGGAAGGTTCACTTTAGGGCAATAGTAAACTGAGTTTGGAGAGATAAGTTGGTATCAAGTTGCAGAGTTCATTGCTGGATTTAAAAGGTTATTTTGCATCCTGTAGGCTATGAGCCAAGGAGAGGTAATGATGGAAGCGCTGCTTTGCACACATTGATCTGGTAGCAGTATCCAGGACAAAACTGACAGTAGGAAGAACAGTTAGAAGACTAGGACAACAGTCAGTGTGATATGGAAATCCTTTAACTGGGGGGCTTCAAGGCTGTGGGAGCCAAAAAGAAGGGACAGTTGAAAGAGGCATCTTGAAAAAAAAAAAAAGACTTTTTGGCTTAAATTTGGGGGAAATAATGAGTCCACAGCCCAGTGATATTTGGGTTTTGAGCATCATCATTATCTTGGAAATAGTCATAACATTAACCTAAATAGAGAACCCAAGAGGAGCCACCAGTTTGGGGGCAAGATTATGAGTTCAGATTTTAGAGTGCAGTTTTGAGGCAATAGGAGGCTGGCATGTGGATGACACTAAGCTGACTCTAGAAGCATAGTTGTGACAGATAAAGCCATGGGCATAGCTTGGATCTCTCAAGAAGAGAGAGGGTACAAGCAGAAGCTTAAAGACTAAACCATATAGAATATCCACAGTCAGGAGGTGAAGGAAGGAAGAGGAGCCAGCGAGGAGGACAGGAAACTGGCTGGAGATGTAGGAGGAGAACCAGCAACATGAAAAGATGTGAAATTGGTGGAGTTGAACAGAAAGGAGAGAAATGATTAAAGGCCCAAAGCCTCTTCCCGAAACATAGCCTGGTATTTGTCACTTTATTTAGACACACTGCCTGATATTCTACCAATCGTTCCTTTCGTGGTAGTAGGAATAAGACGGTGAGGCTATCAATAGTCTTTCTCACTATAAGCTGAATTACAGTGTTTTCATCAGACTGTTTTCCACCTAACCCTTAATGATGTGATCATTTCATGGAGGTAATAGTTTTTATTAGAAATGTTAAAAGGAGAGAAGTAAGAGGTAATTTTGGAGTCCTGACTGCTTGGAGAGGACTGCTGGGATATTCTGGATAGCCAGAGGGCAACATGAGGACATTGGGTAGAGGAACAAGAAAATGGGATTCTAAGAGGCAGGGAGAAGGATGTAGAAAGAGGATGGAAGGATACCAATGACAATTTGCAAATCTTATTAGAGGAAGGATCCTGATTTTTCCCTTCGTCCCAGGGACAAAATAAAAAGCAAATTCTCTCTTTCCAAAATTGGGACAAGATAAGAGAAAGAATGATGATGATGATTATAATGACATAGCACTTACCATGTGCAAAGCACTGTTCAAATTAAATATTTAATCCTCTTAACAATCCTCAGAGGTAGACCCTATTATCTCCACTTTACAGTGGAGGCAGGTGTGCCAGTTAGCCTGCCCCTAGGTCTGCAGAGTCTGGGGATGCAGGTCAGAGAGGACAGGGTCATGAAGCAGCCTCTCCAGCTGGAAGCCCTCCACCTGCCACCCCGAGATGTCTGCCCCGAAGAGAACAAGCAAACTAATGGGGCCGGAGGTGGTGTTGGTCACATGTAGTATCTATGCCTTCAATTGGAGGAGGGAAAGAGGGACATTACCTGACACCCATGAAATGAAGTGACTATGAACTACAGCTAGCTCTGTCTCTAGACCTAGATTTTTTAAGTGGGAAGGGAGGTGGTGTGTATAAGGAGCAGTCATGGTGTAGACACTAAACTTGGAGTCGGAAGACTTAGGTTTGGACTTGACTGCTTGACCTTGAGTAGGTCAATCCTTCTCTCTGAGCCAAATTTTCCTCAGTTACAAAATGAAGGCATTGGATAAGAGTTAAGCCTCTGAGGTCCCTTCCAGCTTGAAAACTGTACAATTCTAGAACCTGGTGTTTGGGTATGACAAATTATGATCTCTCTCTCCCACTGCATATGTTTGAGCGCGTGATATTTTGGGTATAAATATGCCAATGTCTGCTGTCTGTATGTGTGTATTCCAGCTATATGACTAAAACTTTAGTTGTTTGTGGGCAAATAAGGGATGCTTCTTGGTTTTCTCCAAGAGAGACCAAATGGCTCTGTGAGGTAGTAAACTCTAAGATCACTGACTCAAGGTATGGCAGGAGGGCAAATGACTCCAGAAAAGGTTTTAGTCTGTAATCATTCTTTAGCAAAGTTATTTTTATTTTTTCCATTCTTTTTACAACCAAATATAATTCAGTTTTGATATCAACCCTGTGAAATGACACAGGTTTTTACAGAAGAGGAAAAAGAGACTCAGAGATTAAGTGACTTGTTCAAGATCACACAGCTTGTTAGAGCCGGAGCCAGAACTAAGATCTAGGGCTCCTGACTCCTGGCTTGTGTGTGCTTCCTATTCTGTGCTGGCTGTTAGAAGAGACCCTGTGCATAAAAAACAGAGTTAAAGGGGGTCTGTTTCTAGGTAAAGGCAAAGTGGAGAGCCTCTTTGGATGCCAGGCCACCTTGCCTGCTCTATTCCCACCTCTGCAGCCTACTGGCTGCAGTCACTTCATTCAGAGGAGAGGTTCAGAAGACCTAAAGATAATGGTTATTTCAAGGGCCACAAACTATGATTAGAATGTCAGAGGGCAATGATAAGCAGTAATAACATTCTGGAGCCTCTGCCAAGATGTGAAAGATGTTTACTAACTCTTCTCAGAGCCTAATTTGCCCTCTTTCTCTGGGCTCACTTCTTCAATAGGGCAGGGATGTGACCATACCACTTCTCAGAGCTGTGGTGAGGACCAAAGTAGATGATTAGGTAAAAGTACCTCTGAAAAGGCACACAAAAGTTTGCTCACTCATTCAACCAACCACCATTTACAGAACACCTACAATATCCCAGGAACTGTCTTAGGAACTGGAAGAAACAAGGAGCTCAGCGTCACCATTATTATCTCCCCTATGGCCTTTTTTCCCTTAAGCCCTGTGTCTCTTCTTGTCTAGTACCATATGAGGCAAGATGGGCCCTGTGGCCCTGTCGAATTCCTCAGCTAAGTGCTTTTGACCCATGGAATTCTTGCTATGTACCAACCTCTGGGCCTACCTGGAATCAGCAGAGGGCTCCCTCTGCTGTAGCTCATTCCACAAATCCTTAATTCACTCGGTGTGAGGCAGGCATGGTTCTAGATGCTGCGGATACAATGGGGAACAAACATACAAGGTCCCTGTCCTCGTGGAGTTCACTGTCTACTGGGGAAGGCAGAGCTTAAACAAATCAACATGCAAATAAATATATATTCACAAATCATGGTGAGAGTGGTGTGAGGTGGGGAGAGAGAAGTAGAACTCAATTTGGAAGGCCCCTCTGAGAAGGCACGAAGCTGAGATCCTCGAAGGATAAGAAGTGAGCCAGCAAATAGCCTGGGGAGGAGTCCTCCGGGCAGAGGGAGCAGGGTGGCCAAAGGCCCTTGACATGGGAGGGAACACGTGTCTTCAAAGATCTGACAGAAAAGCAGTGAGGCAGAGACCAGAGCAAGCAAGACAGTGGTACTTGATAGAGTTGGAGTGAGAGGCAGGGGCTGGACCACGCTGGGCCTGTAGACTGAGGTGAAGAATTCACTGTAAGTACACTGACTTCTGATGCCTTCTGCTCTCTTCCCAGTGCTAGTGAAGAAACGGCCTGGTTGTTTTACTAGTTCTACTAGGTGTCCCATGATGGTGATCTAAGTTTGGAGGTTAGAGAAATTTGGCATAGTACAAACCACCCCAAAAATTGTCAGTTTTAGCTCCTTCACTTCGGTAACTAACCTTTGAACTCACCTGCCCCAGAATCTATGAACTGGGTGGGTAATGCCAAAGATTTTCATCCCTATCCTCTACACTGATCACAGATCTACAAAGTAAAGGAATCAATTCAGTGGTGATTTTGCCTGTTGCATATGGGCTCCTTAGTTTGCTCAGATGGCCCACATCTCTTGGAGTGAAGGATTGATTTATCACCTAAAACCTGGAAGGGGAGGTAAATGTGCACAAGTAACTGTAATAAAGGGAAGAAAGGGATAAAAGCCACAAGAGGGGCAAAGAGAGAGATTACTGAAATAATAAATTCCTTCAGTTACATGTTATAGGAGCCATTGAGTGCTCCTCTGTAAAGAAAACTGATATCATGAAATGGCAAATTATAAGTGGTGCAAACACTACCTCCTGTAGGAGACCACAGGAAGTGAGGCTAGGTAGAGAGAGGTGCTCTCATGCCCTGCAAGTGGGATGTAAATTGGTTAGGGATGTAAATTGGTACTTTTGGTACCTTTCTGGGAAGCAAGTTAGGAGTATGAATCAAAGGCCTCAAAAACATTTGCTTTGACCCAATAATTCCACTACCAGGAATCTACCCTAAGAAAAAAAAGAGACATTTAAAGATTTATAGACAAGAATTTTCATTATAAGGCTATTATACCATCAAATGGTTAGAAACAATCCAATCTGGATTATATAATTACATTATGATACATACTCATGATGTAAAAGTATTTAAATCAAGTTTTTGAAAAACCATAGTGACCTTTGGACTCTGAGATATCGTTTCAAAAGAACATGCAAACTAATAATTACAATATAATAGGATAAACGCTTTGACACTGCAAGGTAGGTACAACTGGGGTAATGAAGGAAGGATTCCCAGGAATACTAACATTTGATGTAGGTCTTAAAGAATATGTAGGAGTTTCCAGGTGGAAGAGAAAGAAAGGACCAAGCGGAGACCCTTAAATTCAGAAAAAGAAGACTGGGAAGATAATACATCTCTCGAGAAAGTCTTGCAACAACCACACCTCTTATACAGCCACAGTCCGCAAGCTCATTATCATTCCGTTACTGAGTCGATGAGCCATGACGGTGATCGGGACGGGCGACCTCTCCCATGGGAGAGGACCGGATGCCTCTGGAGGCTGCGCCCAAAGGTAGGCTGGAAACGATGGGTGGGGCTGAAACCAACTGTAGGCAGCCCTCGGCCGCTTGCCCCAGCAATCCCTACGCTGAGGCTTCCCGTTAGTGAAATAAGTCCCAGGGCCTCGTAGCCTCACCTCCCAGACCTTCCGGCGGCGCCAAAAAGCGACCAGAGTGTTGACGCAGCGCGCAAGCGCAGTGGGCGGCTGGACTCGGGTGAGAAGTTTCACGGCCTGATGGAGGTTGCATGAGGCCTACGGGGCTGAAGACAGCCCTTCCGAGGTAAAGCGCCTGGCCGTGTGTGGAGTCCACGCGGAGGAGGACCTGGGGAACCCGAGCACTCCCCTCGGAGCTTTGGTTCTCCGTGACCGCACCCTCCCGAGCTCTCTCCCACTCTGGGGTTCTGCTCCCTTTTCCCTCGCTGGTCGGCCCCACGGCTGCCTCTCCCCGCTTCCTTCTTCATCTCTTGAGTCATCCCTCTGTTCTCCCCACTGCCCCGGCTCTAGGGGGCAGGGGCGGGGGATGGTTTGAGAGGCGAGGCTGGGGGAAGAAGACAGTCTGTGGCCCAGCTGTGAGCATTGTCCTCTGTCCTGGCTTTTGGACGCTGGCTTCTCTTAGGCAGCTCAGCTGCGGTCTGACTTCTTTCTCCCATGGCAACTGTGGATCCCTGATTCCTGAGCCACCTGTTAAGGGCTGGGGCGACGCTGGGCTTTCAAACCCAGCAATGAGCTTGGACAGGCCCAAGGCTGTGCTAAGTACTTAAGGTGCTAGTAGCTCTGGACAAAATTAGTTTCTTCCCATGGCGTGGACCTCCACCTGCTTACACCTCTCTAGGATGTGGGGTGTCTGGAGGTCTCTGTAGCTGAAGGATGCTGGGAAAGGTGAGGAGAAGATGTTCCTCTTTAAAATTTGAATTTGAACGTCTTTTCTGGTCACCTGCACGCTCCTGCTAGTCACAGATCCACTCACTTTGTCTTACACTTGTCCCTTTGTAGTCATTTCCCTGCCTAGCTCCTGAAGGCAAAGAGCTTCCTGTTCCTGGAAGTTCAATTCTCCGGGCCTCACCTGTAATATTTCTTCTCCTCTGACCTAGATCATGTCTCATGTGGATGAAGCAGCCCGCCGGCTGTCCAAAAGTGGGTCAACCCTCTATGCAGTGCTGGAACTTAAGAAGGGTGCCTCACCTGAAGACGTCAAAAAGGCCTACAGGTTCAGACCTCAGCCCCTCATTAAACCCCGGAATTTCCCCCCTTAAACATTTTTCTTTCTCCCTTGCTTTCTGACCTAGTTTTAAATCCCCAAGCCTTCACTTTGGGGCCAGATGGGGCCGTCCTCCTCTTCATTGTGGTATGGGAAGGAGTTTAGGCTTGGGCTCCTTGCCTCCATCGTTTGTACCATGTCCCACGCATTCCTTCTTCACAATTTAGAGACCTTTGCCTGTCATTCATCCTAACCCTCCCTCCCCAGCCATTCCCCATCCTCTCCCCACCCTCCTTTTGGGTACTGCCTGGGTAGGAGACTGGCCTTGAAGTATCATCCAGACAAGAATCCAGGGAATGCTCAAGCAGCAGAAATATTCAAAGAGATCAACACAGCCCACGCCGTACTAAGTGACCCTAAGAAGCGGAAAATCTACGACCGGCATGGCTCATTGGGAATATATATATATGATCACTTTGGCGAAGAAGGCGTCAGATACTATTTTGTGATGAATAGTTGTTGGTTCAAGGTACACAATTCTTCCTAGTCCCTTAAGAATAAGGAAGGAGAGGCAAGCCTCCTCTTCTAGGACTGCTGACCCTCCCTTCCTAGGACAGATGCTTCCGTTGTCTCATGTTCTGGGTGCTGGGAGGATTGAGGGAGGGGAGTTTGAATGGAAATATGCAGATCTGCTGGACTGAGGCCCTGCTTTCCTGTCTTGTAGACACTTGTCCTCCTGTGTGCTCTGCTCACTTGTTGCTGTTGCTGCTGCTGCTGCTGCTTTTGCTGTGGAGCACTCAAGCCACCACCTGAGGACGCTGCTAGGAGAAAACCCCAGCAGAATGTCCGGAGTCAACCTTCAAGGTCAGGTGAGAACTGTAGACAGGGACTGAGGTAAGAGCTGGCTTAGGAATGAAAGAAATAGTGGGGGGTGAGAGAAATGGTTGGGGGTGAATCTGTGAACCCCTAAATATGGGAGTCTCAAGTCGGTATTGGGGCAAGGTAAAGAAAGAGAAAGGGATACTCTCGGTTTCTGAGGGGCTTCTGCCACAAATTGGCAGCTTGAATGTGGTCTTGGCCTCTCATGATTGTTAAGGAAAAGGGGGTGGGAGTTAAGGTAAGGAATGGGATGAGAGAGTCTGCCTAGAAAAGGCAGTAGTTGAAGACAAGTTAGAGGATGCACCTTGTTGCGTTTCTCAAAAGGAGGGTAAAGTGTCTGAGATTATCCCCACCCTCAGACTTGACTTGAAACTGTGGGTTGACTGAAGTTCACACCAGTGCCACCTAGTGATGCTAATGTGTAACTACAAGGTAACTATTTTCTCATCAGTAGACTAAAAAATTGTTACTAAATATTTGTACTTGTGTTTTTCAAATTCCGTTATAGGAAACAAACAAAGTTCTAGAAGGCAAGATACTTATAGTGAAGATGATTAAAAGATGAAGAAGAGTAAGGTATGAAAACCGAAATGCAACAATAATTAAAGGAGGAGACAAGAATATACCCTAGCTTCAGATGAGTCGTTGGTGGAAAGTTTATATCCTTATAGTATGGACTGAAGATGTCTGTATCCTTCCCTATAGTGGGTTTGCTTTAAATTCCAGGTGACAATTCCTTCTGGTTAATAAGATGCCGACTTCTTCTGCCCCTAGGTGCCAACCCAGTGAGGGTGCCTTTTGCTGCCCAGCCCACTGGACACGTTGAAGAAAGGAGCAAGTAGCCCTGTTCTGACATTGACCCTGATTTGCCCCTCTTCTTGTAAGAATCCCAACTTCAGAAGCACTGATGGTGTCCATCCCAATGGGGATGCCATCTCTGTCCTTGATGGTGTCACTCACCCTGATGATACAGGGTCACTCAGCTACTCTTCTTTTTTAGCCCAGTTTTTTAGCCCCCATTTTAATCTGTTAGAGAGCAGCCCTCCCATCCCTGCCCTTATAAGGTCTCAGGTGGTGGTGACAGACTTTTCCAGAGCATTCTTTTTCCTCTGCCTTCCTTGAGATTTGAGCCAATGTCAGCTGGTAGAGTCTCTGAGCCTCTTGGAATATCTCCACCAAGATCCTGATACCAAGCAGGGTGGATCCTGTCCCAGAACTGATGTGCCAGCTAACCCTCCTTTGTTACAACTCTGTCTACCAAACACTCTTAGCATCAGCCTCATTCCTAAGCCAGTATACCTTTCTGGGGCTCGTCTCACCTTCTTCTGGTGCCCATGCACTTGGCTTGCCAGCCTCATTTCATGCCACCATGAGTCAGCTCAAGAAAAGTCTGAATGCATTTGAGGCTTAGGGGTGGTCATGTCACCTTTAGATTCTCCCCTGTCTGCAGCTACCAGCACAGCACCCATTAGCATGAGTCCTGCGGGTCAACTGAAGTTCACGCTTCAGTGTTGCTTGCCCCCATCCTTTTTACCACATCTTAGGCAGGCTGATCACCATATATTTTGTTCTTAAAGCAGAGGCATGAAACGTGATAGGGAAAATACTGTACTTTTACAGACCCTTTCCCCACTCGTGCCTCTTGGTGCTGCCTACTTGGCATCCTCTCCACACCGTTTATTTCCCATCCACCCAGGGTCAGAGCCTAGTGACCCCTCGAACTTTTCTCTCCTGACTGGGAGAAGAGCTAAGGAATGTCGGTAAATAAAAGAACTTTTGTCCAATCCAGTGCATATGTTGGGCCCAAAAAAGATAAATTGTGCCCTGGATGGGGAAAAAGTCCTGTAGGAGAAAAAGACAGAGGCGCGATGCTCCCATGTGAGGCCAGCCTGCCTTGGAGAGTAGGAGTCCAGGACGACTGCAGAGCTGGGGCAGAAGGTTCCCGGAGCCTTGTGATTATGGCTTTGTCAGTGCTCTAAAATTTCTCTGGAGACCAATTCCCCTAGTGCCCAAAATAGGTCCCTGGCATTCAGGTCCTTTCTGCCCAGCTCGGCTTCTCTTGATTTCCTAACAAACTTAAAGTCCTTGGAGTAGCTCTGGTGATGTGGTCATGGACCAGAATCCCACACTTTCTCAGGGGCAAGCTCATGAGGTCATTCTAGATCCTGGCACAACTGCCAGCTCTAGCCTCCTGAGCTTCTTTTCCTAGGGTGATATAAGAAAGGTCTGGGCAAGAAAAAAAATGGACCAGAAGTGTTGGACCAGAGCCTCTCTCTCTCTGGTCTCTGGTGCCCTTGTTCTGAATCACAGAGGAAGAGGGCCAGGGGCACTGGCTAAGCCTTGGAGGCAGAAACTTGCACTGACAGTCCGTAAGGCTGGCAAGATCTTTCCTCCCACCCTGAACCACGTACAGTGCCTCGCATCCAGGCCGATTTAGATTTTGTGTCACTGCCCTGGAGGAGGGGCCCGAGCCAGAACACGGAGGTCAGGGGCTCACAGGAGTCTTCTGAGTGAGAGAGCCTGACACCTTTGCTGCCCACCTTTCCCCGTGAGCAGTGAAGCCCACCCCTGCTCTTGCTCAACGGAGTCACCCGTTCCTGAGTGAGTCAGGGTCACTCACTCGGTGACAGCTGTGGCTCGCCTTACATGAGCTAAATTGGGAGTTGGAATGTCACACAGATGCCCCTTGTTCCCCACCCCCACGTTAAAATTAATCTCCTCTCTGGGGCATGAGGGACAAACAGTGCTGCCCGTAGAGTGAACAAGAGTCGTTTGGGGAACAAAAGGAGAAATTTCCAGGGACATAGGCATTCAGGGAGGGAGGGATAGATAAAGCTACATGTGCCTGGCTGGAGTACAGAGCAAAGAATAGAGAGACAGAGAGTGTTCTGAAAACAGCTATCTAAAGACGAGGCGAATCGTTAGAGGAAGGGACAGGAGAGAGAGCAGAGCTATTTCAAGAGTGAGCAACAGAAGGGAACATAAGAATCCACAGACTGTCTGAAGTAAGCGAGGAAGGGTCCAGAGGCAGTGAGAGAAGGCCAGGACCGGGGCCAAGGCCAGGGTAGGCACGATCGCTGAGGGGATGAACTTCACAGTGGGTTTCAAGCCGCTGCTAGGGGATGCACACAGCATGGACAACCTGGAGAAGCAGCTCATCTGCCCCATCTGCCTGGAGATGTTCTCCAAACCAGTGGTGATCCTGCCCTGCCAGCACAACCTGTGCCGCAAGTGTGCCAACGACGTCTTCCAGGTGGGCCAGGGGTGGGGGCAGAGCCAGGTAAGGCAGTGCAAACTTGTGGGAGACTTCTCATTAGGTCAGAGCTGAGACCCCAGAAGGTGACGGGCAGAATGTTCTATGAGGTGGGTGGTGGCTGTCCTGGGTGAAGAGCAGAGGAAGAGCCAGGGTCATAGCAGATCCCAAAGTAAGCATGAGTCAGCAGCTGCTATGCAGGCTGGCAAGTACAGCCTGTGCACGGAGAGCAGCTGGAATGCTGGTATCTACAGAGGAAAGAAGACCCCCATAGAAATTGGGAGGGAGGTGATCCTACATCAGACTATAGAACAGTCTTTTACTGAACTCTCCATTCCAGTTTGGAGTTTCAGATTTTGAGAACAATACGGAAAATCTGGAGAAAATAGCAATGAGATAATGAAACATTAAAAAATAAACACTATGAGAAAAGTTCATGATGACAGTGAAATTATTTGTATTTAAGGCAAAGTTTAACACACCCATCTTTAGGGGCAGAGTTAGACAGTGAGCAGAAGACTGGGAACTCTCCGCAACTAAAACTCAGGCCTGTGCGCCACTCCAGATTGGTCTGTAAAGGGGCCTGCTGGTTAAAAAGGATTGAGGTCACTTCAGCAGAGAAGGCAGAGATGAAATCTTACTTCCCAGAAATATAATGAGTTTGGATTTAGGCATGGTCATGGGGCAAAGCATAACTAATTCACAGATACCATTTTAGCTACTGGTTTCAAGAAGAAAAGCAGCATATCACAGGATGGTTTATTCCTAAGCTTGCTTTCTTGCCCTGTGCCACTGGTGTAGGTTCTAGTAATCTAGAAAATGGAACAAAGATCAGGGAGAGTGAGGAGAAGAGGTGCACACACACACACACACACGCACAAAGACCTTGCAAATGAAGTAAAAACTCTGAATAGACCAGAGCTAGCTGGCTTACTATGCATGGGGCAATAAGGAACATCATGAACACATATTCTTCGTCTATATCAGAAATTATGGGGAAATGTGTTGAATGCAAGTGATTTTTAACGACCAAGATAATGCTTCCCTTTTAAGTTCTTTGGGGCAGCGTGTTTGGGGGAAAACAATGGCCCAGCTAAGTCAAGCCATCCCCTAGCTGTGCCCTGTGACCCACCCTTTGTCTCTCTGCTGTTTACCATCTTCACTGAGTGCCCAGCCCCATAGTCTTTCCTGCCATCTTCCCATCAAGGCCCATTCCCATCTCCTATTCCTCTGCTTGTCCAAACCTGCCGTTATTTGGCTCAAGAGTGTCTCAGAGCCAGTGATTTTCCCTTTCTGGGGGCCTAGACTGACTGCTATGCCTGCTCAGCCCAGGCGTCGTCATGTACCAGAGGCTACGCCTTGTCCACCATCTTGGTTTTTCCCTTGCTCTGAACAGCTCTCTGAACATCCTTCAGGCTGAGATGCCTAGAAGGGGATGGTAAAAGGGTTTTTTGCCATCCTTTCTCATGAATTTGTAGTGAAACATCCTTTCATTAGAACCTGAAATATATGAATGTGAAGAGAAGTTTTGAAAGTGAAGATAACGTGTCCTGTAAAAAAGTGGTCAGAATATTCAAGTACAAGACTCATGGTATGATCGGGCAGAGGGACGCAGAGAAAGGTCTTGTATATGGAGGCTAAAAGATGTTTAAGTGACCTCCTTGTTCAAGCCTGTCCTGTGTATCCAGGCACACAGTTTTGGCTCCTTGAAGCTCTGGAATATTGATCTGGGCCCAGAGCGACCTGGGAATGGGTTGGGTCAAGCCCTGTGCAGAATATTTGGGAGATAACAGGGTTCCCAGGGCTTTGGGATGACTCTGTGGGTCTGGACTGACGTGTATCTTTTAAAGTGCAGAGTACCCCTAGGCCCTCTGAGGAGAGAAGAGGGAACAGCTCATTCCTTTGCTGCTTTATTTGGGACGGCCTGGTGGGAGGCTGACCCAGTTCTTCAGCTACACTTATGTATATACATCTCAGTAGATCTCCCTCTGAAAGATGAGCATATTTAGTTTTTTCACACATTGCCTCCACATTTTGACAACTCTGGGCATAATAAGATTGTCTGTTTTCTAAGTATGGGGACAAGAATAGGACTTTTGGTTCCTCTATCTTAAAACCATTTATGAAGAATACCCTTAGAACGTTGCCTAGAAAGTTAACAGGACTTATAAAAGTGATACCAGTATATTATACATATATTTTTTTCAAACAGTATGAAAGTTTATATCAAGAAAACTGAATCTTCACCTCAGGCACTCAGTTCCCTTCTCCAGATGGAGGTAGCGATTGCCAACTTTCTTGGATTTCCTTCCAGAAATTTTCCATGGAGAGAGAACGTGTGTGTGTGTGTGTGTGTGTGTATATATATATATATATATATATATATATATATATATATATATTTAAACTAGACCCCTTGTCTTACACCTGCCTTTGTTTACTTACTCTTGCTTAGTGGTTGTTCCATATTCACACATTCGTATCTGTGTCTTCCTTTTTAAATGGCTGTATAGTGTTCCACTGTGATGACTAGATCACGGTCTATTTAATCAATCTTCTCAAACATTTAGGTGGTGTCCAGCGTTTTGCTGTCCTGAAAACTGCTGTGATGGACAACAAACAAGAATTTTTGGGAATTGTGATTTTATAACATCAGGTTAACTAGAGAGCCAGGAAGGAAAATTTGAAAAATTAAAACATTTAATTGAAATGTTAAACAGTATTAAAGGTTTGGATGGAAATCATCCATTATCCTACCTCCTCCAACACAGTTATTTTCATGTTTGCATATTACTTTCAAGCCCTTGTCCCTATTCATATTTTTACATAGTTGCCATCACAATTTAACTAGTTTTCTTTAGAGCTGTAATACATCTCTCTGAATTTAAACAGAATAAAACACCATGTTAACCCCCTCTGATTTCTCCCTCTCTCCTTCCCCACATTTGCACCCACTCAGCTACCAAGCATTTTGACTAGAGGAAAGCTGTTGGGGTGGGAATTTGACACAAACATCTTCCCATGTGTTTCTGTATTTGTAAATTCTATTCACTCCTAAACTAAAGCAAGCCTTCAGTTTATTTTTATACCTGCCCCCACTTCACTGTGGGCACTTGTTTATGAGCTGCAACCTGTTGTAATTTAAAGGACAGCCAGAAAGCCTTGTAAGAAGGTTGTTCAGGAACAGCTTTTATGGAGGGTGTCCATTTAAGGAGCAATTTACAGAGTCAGGAATATCAAGACAGAGGCCGCCTTCTCTAATAAAGGGCAGTCTGGGAAAAAGATGACGTCTTTCACTCCACCGTGAATTCCACTTCTTTCTCGGTTAATTCTTAGGACCTATTGTCATCAAGTGCAGGCCTGCTAGTGAAAATCCTACACAGCCTGCCTCTTCGACCACTTCCACCTGCTACTCAGGGCACTGGGACCTCCCCAGCCTGACCTTGGGCCAGTCTTCTTTATGAGAAATTGGTTCATTGACATTTTGTGAATTGCATTGACCTTGAAGCAGGATTAGGGATCTCACTTACT